AACGCTTGTCCTGTCGTTTGGTTTTCCCCAAACTTGGTTTTTGCACCCGTCCAGAGCGAGGTGTCTGAAACATACCTGTCCTGTAAATCTCTTTGGCAACCAACAGTTGCGAAGTTCCTCGCTTCATAGTTTTCAAGCTTCATGTTCACTGGGCCATCCGCATTTTGTCATGGTGGTGCTTGCGTTGTCTCTTGGGCATCCCGAAGATTGGTTCATATTTTCAGGGGCCTCCAAATTTTGATGTGATAGTTTTTCAGATTAAACATGTTTTGATACTGGGCCCACCAAGATTTGGGGTTGTCCGGCTTTCTAGGCATCAAAAAAGTCAGCGTGTAGTTCAAGGCATCTTTGCGCGCCACTGTCATAAGGGAAATAACAATGTAGCAGCCCCATGAGTAATTCATATTTCTTGACAAACATTTCAACACACATTAACGCAAACACGTAAACCCGTGTTGTCACACACACATACACATATCAATATGTAAAACTAAACTTTTCAGGCACAGCCTGGGCATAGACAAATGAGGAGCGGACGAAACACTTTACTCGGCCCTAGTACTTGTTTGAACGTTCTCGTTTTTGGGGGAGACCTTATCGTTTTACAGTGTTTCGAACTTTGGCAGAACCGGCTCGAAAATCGCAACTTTCTAGTACAAGTCTTGTACGCGAAGTACACTTCCGCAGCTCCAGCTCGAAAATCGCAACTTTGTCGTACAAGTCTAGTACGCGAAGTACACTTCCAGTTCGAAAATCAACTTCTCAGTACAAGTGTCGTTTTTACGAAGCACACCTTGGCAGCTCCAGCTTGAAAAAGTGGCGACTCGTTTTACGGTGCCACCCAAACGAAGTTGCAACTGCAGTGGTTGTTATAGAGCCGTGTGTTAGCTAAGGGCTTTCCATGGTTTTGGCATGTGTTATGCAAAAACTTACCCCGCCTTGATAAAGTGGTCTTCGTAGGTTTTGTCCGTGGCTCATATGTAGATTTGAGAAAGATAGGGCCCCAAAACTACCCAAAAGGCGCAAGCATGCCTATCCTTTTATCCGCGCACGCGGCCTAATTGTTCCGGCGAATGTACATGCCAAACGGTCTAATGAATCGACCTTGACTGACATGCTTCACTATGCTGCGACAAGTCCTTCAAGTTTACATTCCATTCGAGGACTCGCCAAACAGCATGACCTCCACTCAGGAACTCGCCGACGCTGGTCCTCGGCGGGTAGTCCCTGATAGCAAATCTCGGCTGTCTCAGGCTTGCCGCATCCTTGGCCACATGCACTCCGGTTCCGCGCAGCGTGCCACCCCAGAGATTCCCCGAATCGTTGCAGAAACGATCTCAGTCAACTCCTCACCTGAGATCACCAACTCGTCCTTCGCGGCCTTAGTCCGCTCTGCTTGACGAACTGTTGTGAAATCTCCACACTCCACCAGTTCGTCCGCAGCACCTTCTTCATCTGGCTCGCGCCCATGTCCTTGGTCCCGGCATCCACAAACAAGTTGGCCGTCGCCGTCCAACGGAATGCTGTGTTTGGCCTCCGCAGCTGCCGTCGCAAGCTCGCCAGCGTGAATGCCAGCGACTTCTGCGCACCAGGGCCAGTGTCCTTGCTCAACTGGTCGCGGTCCGTGACCCCCGGCGGCACCTCTGTGATGCGTCCTTCTAGTCCACCGAAATGCCTCTCGCCTCCGCAATCACAACCACGCAGAAGCTCACCAGCATCCAGCCCTTCTGCTGCCCCCAGTGTCTCCGCCGCATAGGAACTCCGGCAGACGCTCCGGCGACTGCTGGTGTCCAGCAGGTTGAGCTCCCCGGCTTTGGCCTTGCACGATTGCGAGCACCACCGCATAGCAAGATTGCGAATGCACCTTCTGCCCGGGCTCCGCTGCGCTTGGTGGTCACATTGCCCAGTCACCACCGTGACGCCGGCCTTCGTGTAGTCCACGCCCGTGAGCAGGATAGCGTTGTTGCCTCACAGGGCCGTCCCAATGGTAGCTTTCTCAAAATTCTTCTTCTTCTCCCGAATGTTGAGAAGACTGTCCGGGCCCAACCTCCGGCATCTCGGAATCACCATCGTCTTCAATGGAGATCAGCATGTCCTTGGTTTCAGGGTCTCGACAAATGCGCTTCACGCGCCCAATGGCGGCTTTGGCTTTGTCATCACCCGTGAACAAGAGGTCGTCCGCAACAGACAGGGAGGGCTCCATCCAATGTCCTCTCTTCGCCTCCTCAACTCCCCGCACAGGTTCTTGGCACAGAGGCGTGCGATTGCTTTCTCCTTCATCCTCCTCGCCTGATGTGAGCGCCAACCCCGGGATTGCCTGCCTTGGACTCCGCCGGCGACAATACCATGACCGCCTCGTTCTGCAACCACTTCTGTCACTGACCCCGCTGCTTCCCAGAAAGCATCTCGGGTCTTCTCCTCCACGTTGGTTCAATCAAGGTCCGCGCCCGCCAAGGCCAAGGCCGGACATGCTCTGCGAGGTGGTTTGGTTCGGGGTGCTGGGGGGGGGGGGTTATGGCAGTGTCATTACTTTGCCACAGTATGCATGTTTGCATTCAGGCTCTCGCGCATGCGCTGCTGCTGCGCTTGGCAGGGCATCCCGCGCCTTCTCATGAGCTGCGACCATTTTAGCTGGCAGATTCACTTGTTCTGAATTCTTTTCTAGGATACTGGGCTGGGAAGTGCGTACGTTTTTGACTAGGGGCAGGCTTTGGCACTGTCGCATGTCAAATCATGTTCTTAGACCATGGGCTAAGGTGTGGACAAGATCCATAGAAGATTGCACCATTAGCTTCGTCCAACAGGCGATCGGCTTGAATTTTCGCGGTTGGTTGCCTTCGTCTGCTCTCGCTGCGCAGGCTTCTGTGTTATACGGCATGGAAGGCCTATGTGTCCGTTTGCGTCTCCCGGTTGCTTGCAGCCCGGCTAGCTCGGCGACAACTGCTCACAACGCCGGCTCCGCTGCTATTCAAAATAAAGGTCACCTTTCCGAGCTTTCCTCTCCGGGCTTCGCTCTGCTATTGAAGATGTTGTTGACGCTTTGTCATGCCTGTACTTGGGCCAAAAGCCTGCTTTGGAAAACGTTTTGCTAGCCTTGGCGGCATGCAGAAAAGCGCCAGGACAAGCGCCCCCCGTCTCGAGCATTCAGTGATCTCACTTGGCTGGATTTGCCTGCGCAATGAAATGCACCGTCCCACGCAGGCCATGCGAGCGGCCTTGAATGCACCTGTTTGAAGCCGCCGAAACACTGTTGAAACCTCATTTCACAAAGCTGTCGGGGAAACTCTGTTTCTCGTGACGAATTCTGGCATTGTGTTTCGCATTGGTTTTTACTGTGTTTTCTTACATGTAGCATCATTCCAATGACACGGAGCGCGGCCAAGCTTTGTCGGTCACCTCGGACTCTTGCGACTGCAGGATTGAAACCGCGGCAAAACATCGCGATTGCACCTCCACGTTACGTTGGACCAGTTTAGTTCTCGACCCTGTGTGGCCAATAGAACTTTGTGATGATCACTGCCCTCTGGTCGACCTTGCAAAGATCATCGCCCATCCCAGCCACCATGAGCTCCCGGATGTCCTTCTGCTTCTGGGCTTCCTCGCAAACTTGTAGTGGGGGATGTCGTTCCAAGGTTGCCTGCGTCAAGAGCACATCTCGGGCTTTGCGTCTGGGCGTGATCGGCTGTGTCTTGTACGCCCTTCTCTTCGGTTATCGGCCAACTGCTGCTCCTTCAGAAAGTGCTCTGCAGCACGGCCGTCGCAAACTCCAGTGGAGCCCCGCAGCTGCCGCTCTCGCGTGACCGTTCACGGTCTCCTTTCTCGCATTGATGGTTGTGCTTGAGGTTCACCCCTTTCTGGCATTGGTGGTTGCGCTTGAGGTTCACGCGTGTCCAGCTGTTGTGATTGCGGTAATTGCGCCGGAAGCCCGATTGCCAGCATTTGGGTGACCTTCTTCTGGCCATTTTTCTGACACTCAGCATCGCCTTCCCAATGTTCAGGAAGTCCACGTGCCACCCGCCTGCCTTTCTGCTCGAGCTCCAAAGCCCGAAGCGAGGCGCCGCCTCGCTTCAGCGGCCAGGCGACCTGCTTCTTGAAGTCTTTCACGGCGTCACCTCGGCCATTTCAATCGGGTTGATAGGGGGTTGGGGGTAGATGGGCCTGTTGAAGCTAAGCCCGGAGTTGGGGGCAGATGGCTTCTTTCAAGTTGGGCTCCCACTTTGGTTGAACCTAAGCCCCCTTGATAGGGGGTTGGGGGTAGATAACCCTAAACCCTAAAAGCTTTAGCGCTCGAATCCTGAGTTGGAAAAAGCCGCCAGCGTGGGTCTTCTGCCGCATGGGCCCTCGAGCTGCTCAAGCCAGCTCGGCTGCCACGTCTTGAAGTCGTCGGTCGCGCCCTCCCGAAATCGGATGAAGTGGCCCACACCGCAAACGCCAGCTATGGCGGCGTGGCAACTCCTCCGACCAACAGCTGGATTAACACAGGGCTCCAGCCATGCTCCGCTAGCACTGAAAGAGATGGGGCCCCCCCCAAAAGGTGCAAAGCGCCTATCCTTTTACGCGCGCACGCCGTCTTAGCGCAAGGCAACTGTCTTATGAACCGACCCTGACTGACACGCTGGGTTTTCCACAAGATTTGTCCATATACACTATTTAGATGCGCGAAGTGTTGGAACTGAACAAATCCAAAACAGGTACGGGAAACACGTGCGCAAAAGCATGATTGAACTGGCCCTTGCGTCAAGTCAATAGGAACTGCACCGCCCAAATGAAGAGAAACGGCACCGCCTAATCAAAAAATCATACAAGAGCATCAATAAAGTTTGTAAAATCCAGCACCAATAGAAACGGACCAAACCAATATCAAGACAAACACACTCGTTTCTATTGATTAGAACCAATAGCCGATGCTCAGAGTCAAAGACTTGGTAAAAAAAAAAGCAGCGGGGCGAACGCTCAAACCGGAAGAAATAGCAGCCGTCGCCGGGACACGCAACACGTGCCTCAGCGCGCCGCCCGCCAACCAGGTCTGCTCTTGACTCTGCGAGCGCAGCTCGAGCTCCATCTCCTAGCGCGAAGCTCCGAACTCGGACCAAGAAAATGCGCAAGGGTAGCGCAAACATTGCCAGCGAACCTCACCTACCTTGAAGCAACCACAATCTGTGGCAACCATGTGCTTCGAACTGTCACGCCAGGCCCCCTCAGAGTTCGCTCCAAGCCCATCAGCAGGGACTGCAGGCCAATGGCTAAGCCAATCAACAGGCTGCCGCGTGCGGAGAGGATCCAGGCCCTCTTGTTGGCCTGCGGGCGGAAATCGTGGCGGGCATGGCTGAGAACAATCGAACCACACACGCTCGCCCAACTCTGGTTCCCATAAAACAAACAATATGAGAAATCGAGGGCAATTAGTTGATTGTACACCGAAGGTCACTTGTACCACCTCAACACACCACTTGTAATGTCACAACGTTGTGAATGAAACCGCAAATAGCACGCTGCCTTCATCGTTGTAGCGCTGTACAGCCCTGCGCTACTTTAGGCCAAATGCCATGGGTGGCGTTGGTCTGGGAATGCAACACTGGTCACAGCCCCCACGCGGCGATGCCCATTTAGAGCGCAGTGGCCAAAATATGCCTCCTACTTACAGTGGCATTTCTTACCCGACTACTTTGAGCAGCCGCGCTTGTTTTCCTCTTTCTGCAATTCACACCGAGCACGTCCTGTCACATTGTACAGAAAATGAATTCGAATGGAGCGAAGTTGACACACATCCCGCCAACCGGATTGCCGGCGCGCTGTCTCGGATTTCTTTGCAAGCCAACGCCAGCCCGCGAACATTCCGGATCTCAACTGCCCCCATGTGGCCATTTATGCGCTCCGAGAATTTCACATCGCATCTCACTCTGCTTCTGCGACGGTCGATGCCCCTTCCGCTACTAGGGCATCCAGCTCAGTGACGCACACTCTTCGACAGCCCCTTCGAGAATCCAAGCAAGTCATCAGAACGAAATTGGCCCCGGCCCTGCCCGATCTCTTCCATCTCTTCTTCTCGAATCCGGCAGATGTCTGAAGTTCAGCTTCGGGTTCCCAGGGAGTCTGTCCCTTCGCCGACTTGTCAACCATGGATCTCAGCAACTTGACTGTAATCAATGCATCTTCTTGCTTACAATCCGCAAGTCCTTGATTGTCTGAACTGCAAAGCGGGCAAGTTTCCACCCCAAGCGCCGACACAATCTGCCAGCTTCCTTTTGCACGGCGTAGATGCTACAGGCTTCTCCTCGCCCACTTCCATGTCTTTGAGCCCATGGATTCCGGTACGGCGGCGGAGCCCCTCCTCGCTGGCCTCAGAGGCTTAAGACCCACCACAATCCGGAGCGGGGAAGACTCCTTTCGTTCCTCTCACGGAAATACCGGTGCCATCAAGTGTTCCCCGATTGAACAATCCGTGGAACATCCCTCCGGCACGCCCACTCGCAGCATACTCACACACTGATCCACGCAACAAATCTTTGCGCCACACCATCACACTCGCGTTCTGTCCACGGAGTTGGCTCAGCTTTGGCTTGTTGAGCTTCCGGTTCTGCGGTGGCATTGTGTTCTGGAAATAGATCACAATGGCTTGCTTGAGCGAGTAAAGCAAAGCGTCGCCCGCCCCCCGTGAAATGGACTCCTGCGCCCTCTTGCCCCAGGTGTAACCAGACACGGCTTGGAGCGCACATCGCTTGCCACCACCCGGCACACGCACGGCTCCCAGGATCGTAGTGAGAGATAACCACATCCTCTCCGTCCACTGGTGCATGCACGCCGATCGTGCAATAGTGCTCCGCATGTAGCATTTTCTCTTCAAGTTTCCCGCCCGTCGCTAACAGGAAGAACAATGCCCAAATGGGACAGCGCCTTTTGGGACCCGATTGTTTTGAATGCGATGTTGAGCAAAAAGCACGAACTCCCTCATGTCTTCAACAGCTCCCGTCAATCCAAATGTGACGACTGTAGCGGCAATTCTAGAACGATCGTGTTTGTGACACATATGTCAGCGAAGCCGTTGTCAGTCAGCGATCCTGCCGGCGGGGGGCCCTTTGCGCCCACTGCACATCTTGTCAGGGTAATCACTGATGACCATGACGCAAACGCTTGGACGATCTTGCAGTTCCTGGTTGATGGACCGCACTTCGATCTTGGCCCTGCGCTTCTCTGCCATCCTTCGAAGTTGGTCCCCCGTGGACATAATCAAGTTGCGTTCCTCTTCACTCAGCAATGATTGCATCGCCTTGTCAAGTTCCACAATGGTGCCCGAAAATATCATTGCCGAGATGAGAAGTCGCTCCCTGGGCAACCGGCGGTCCATAGCATACCACATCAAGCTCGAAGATTCGGTACCCCTTCAATGATTCCTAAAGGGCGAACCAGTTAGTTGTTGCGTCGATCGTCAAAACGATTGGCCTCGACGCCTTGCCTTGGATGGAATTAGCATTTGGTGAAGCAGTTGCCCATGCCCGACTTGACAAAGTAGGTCTCACCCTTCCCCGCCCGTTCCACTGCATCAGCAAGTGAAACCCATAGATGGTGTCATCCATGAAGTTCAGGCATTGTTGCAAATACAACTTCAGCGCCCGGGCCGACACCGATACGGAGTTCCATGGGTCACTTGAGGTTGAAACAGCCTCCTACACGGAGCATAATGATACCTCACCAAGATACCAGCAGGCTCATTGTAGCGCCATGGGTCGAACTCTTGGGATTCGTTTAACTCAGTCTGTTGTTGACAATCACTCCCGTTGGGGTTGTAGTCACGGGTGCCTGGGCCTCAGCGTCGCTGGCCGAAAATTGAATAACCGCTCTGTCTGGCCTGGTGGGGTCTTCATCTCGACTCAAGTTCCCAGAGTCCGTTTAAGCATTTCATGGAGCCAGGCAATACGGATGCCACGGTCCGTTCCAAGCGGCTCATAGTGGGATTCTTACCGGTCCTCGCAACTGCAATCATGGACTGGCTGTCATCATACACAATAACATTTGGCTTGCGCCAAACTTCCGAGCAAAGACGAAGAAAGGAACCGCTTGCGAGAAAGCATGCGGAAAAAGAATGACCCTCTGCCTCTGCAGGTTTTGGCGTGTCCGGCGGGCTAACTTTAAAGCTACCTCGGTCGCAACGCCCAACTGACTTCGGGCGCGGACGGTCCCAAAATGCAGACCCGGGCTCATTGCAAGGCGCGCGCGCTTTTCGCGCGTCAGTTTCGCGAAAAAGGCGCGGCTTGCGTGGCCGGCGCAGCACTTTGTTAAATTGGTCGGTCAGGTTGCGCAGCAGGCGCCACACTTTGGCAGCAGTTGCAGATTTCGTGGCAGGGGCAGCACTTTTAATTGGCGCAAACGCGCAAGCTGGCACACGCAGACTTCGCGCAGGCGTGGCGCTTTCGCAAGGTACACATTTCGTGGCAGGCGCAGCACTTTCAGAAGATAGACAATACATTGACGGTGAAACCAACTGCCAGATAAATAGATAGATAGATAGATAAATAGATAAACAAATATCTAACAAACGGACAGATTGATTGCTAGATAGCTAGACAGATACATGGAGATGACAAATAGATAAAACAAAGCAGGTAAAAGATTGGATAGCCAGCTAGCGATAGAGGGTAGAAGGCTAGATGGATAGATTTAACAGATAGATAGGTCGACTAATAGGTAGATTAGATAGGTAGGTAGATAGAAAGATACATAATAGAGAGGATAGATAAATGAATAGATAGATAGCCGGATGGAAAGAAATAGACATATTGATAGAAAGATAGGTAGGTAGGCAGATGGAAATCGCATAGAAAAGATAGAAAGGATGGTAAGATAGACTGCTAGATATGTTATGTAGATAGATTGACAAACAAATTTAATACATAGATAGAGAGAACCAGCTTCGTCGGCTCTTCTGGTACCGTTTTTTGATATGTTTGATATTCTTCCACAGCTTTCTGGAACGGGCCCTTCCGAGTCGGGTCCTCTGGGCGCTTCACATACCTCTGATGGATGCCATCCAACTTGATCCACTTGGGGGAGTTCGCCACAGCGTTAAGCACTGAGGAGCTCTTAGACCGCTTGTTCCGGAAGCCGCTGGCAGAGGATTCTGAAGCTTCAAAGGTGGGAAAGCGCTGAGGGATGACCGCACCCTGGATGCCCCCCAAGCGGCCGCCGCGGAACATTGGCTCAGGCGGAGCTAGGCAGTTCGATTGCGAGGTGTCACGCAAACAGAATCCGGTCCGCTGTCATGGGTAGTTAACTCGAGCAATGCGTAAAAGTCACGTCGTTGACATGCTGAAACTTAAAATGAATAAAAAGCTGCTCTCCAAAAATACCTGGCTTCTTCTAGCCATGCTTGTGCGTGCGCACGCGCTGTCCGCCATCACCAGCAGCGCGTGCAAGTACTTCAGTTCACTGCACCGACAACACGAAACGCCGCCTCAAATTGGTAGGTGACGGGGGTGTGGACTCACAGCTCAGGCAAACACTATCTGGTCGCCGCTCAGAATTGTGCACAATGTTAGACTTTCATTGCCAAAGCATAGTTGATGTACAGACTATGGGGCAGAAGCAGACACAATCGTTCTCACACATGTGCGACGTCCATCCTTCAAGCACTATAGCTCATTTTCCGCGAGACTCCTTAGAGGCTCACAAATGACGGGGTGAAGCGGGCGAAGGCAGTTCAGTTAGGCAGTGAGAAGAGCGCGCATGTCAGGACAAGATGCCGTGAGCCTTGCAGTGGGGCCAGTCCGTTTCTTGAGATCCGCTGGTCTTCTGGGGCACGGGCGCATCCGAACTGTTTGATGTAGGGGCCATGTTCCGAACTGTCTGCTTGTAAGCCTAAGTCGTTCGGCAATGCTGCAAGACCATTCCATGATGCCTTCCTACACTCAGCCCGCCACATGCCATCCTCTTAAGCAAACTTCGCTCTGATGTTTTGTTGACACTCCTGCAGGCCTGGCGGGTGGGCTCTGGGAGTGACAATGAAACCAGCACCAGCCTCATGTCAGCAGCATTAGCCTCAGGCTTGCAAGAAAAAGACTTCGCAGTTTGACAGCCGGCCTTTTTGGCAACCTGAAAGACTGGAATGAAAGCTCAGGGCGCCCGGCATAGAGTAGCCCTCCAGCTCCCCGGCCTAGGTCGGTGCGCTTAGAAGCTGGAGAATCCGGACACGGTTGATTGCTGGCTTTCTGAATTGGATCAAGCTCCATGACTCTTCACCAAACATGTCCCAGCGAACGGGAAGGCGTTTCGCCTCGGCTCATAGACCTCTTCGCTCGTGCAAGTCTCTGCAACGCGCATTGATCCTTTGCGACGCTCCCTCGTGAAGACTGACTCCATTGAGCCCAGCCAACAGCTTTGCATAGGGTGCGCCTTTGTCTCCAGATTTCATGAAAGACATGCTTCAGAAAACACTGATTGAGAATGATGCGGGACTGCCAAAGACAACCTTCATGCGTTGTGAGTTTACCCCTGCTTCGTGAGCGCGAGATCACCAGATTTCACCAAAGAGGAATGGACCCAAAAGCTCTCCGCTCTGAAGCTTTGCGATTGCAAGAACGCTGCAGCAAAACAAACAAAAGTTGATCGCTCACAAAGCAGTACGCTCCAGCATGCTCAAAATCATAGTGAGGGTTCAAGTGATTCGAAACAAATGTTTAATTAGTGCTGTTTGAAGTGCGCCATGTTTTCGAAGTGCGTTTGGATGTTTAGGCCAACCCTGCACAAACCCGCGCAACCCGCAACGCAAAGCAAAGCAGGCTCCGAGGCGGCTGCTTGCATCCAGCTCTTGAGTCCGCCGTCTGCGCCAATCCAAGCCTCGCGAGTCTCACTCGAAGCATAGATCCACCTTCGGTCGGGCGCTTCGGGGCGCTCTTCGGGGCGCTCTTCGGGGTGCTCTTCGAGGGTTGCTTCGCGTGTGCTTCGGATTGCTCTTCGGGGGGTGCTTCGGGTGTGCTTCGGGGTCGGGGTTGCTCTTCGGGGCGCTCTTCGGGGTGCTCTTCGGGGGCTGCTTCGCGTGTGCTTCGGATTGCTCTTCGGGGGGTGCTTTGGCTGTGCTTCGGGGTCGGGGTTGCTCTTCGGGGTGCTCTTCTGGGCGCTCTTCTGGGTGCTCTTCGGGGTGCTCTTCGGGGTGCTTTGGGGCTCTTCGGGGTGCTCTTCGGGGTGCTTCGCGGTGCTGTTCGGGGCGCTCTTCTTTGGGGGGGGGGGGGGTGCGGGGTGCTCTTCGGGGTGCTCTTCGGGATGGTTTTTGGGGTGCTCTTCGGGGTGCTCTTCGGCGCTCTTCGGGGTGCTCTTCGGGGTGCTCTTCGGGGTGCTCTTCGGGGTGCTCTTCGGGCGCTCTTCGGGGTGCTCTTCGGGGTGCTCTTCGGGGTGCTCTTCGGGGTGCTCTTCGGGGTGCTCTTCGGGGCGGGTGCTCTTCGGGGCGCTCTTCGGGGTGTGCTTCGGGGTGCTTCGGGGGTGCTTCGCGTGTGCTTCGGGGTGCTCTTCGGGGCGCTCTTCGGGCTGCTTCGGGGTTGCTCTTCGGGGTGCTCTTTGGGGCGTGCTTCGCGGTGCTGTTCGGGGCGCTCTTCTTTGGGGGGTGGGTGCGGGGTGCTCTTTGGGGGGCGCTCTTCCGGACGGGGGGCGCTGTTCGCGGGGTGCTCTTGAAGGGGAGGCGCTCTTCGGGGGTTGCTCTTCAGGGGGTGCTCGTTGTGGCGCAGGGTGCGTTGGGGTGTGTCGGAGATGCATTGGGGTGCTTCGGGGCGCTTCGTGCTTCGGTCGCTGTGCTTCGGTCGGTGTGCTTCGTGGGTGTGCTTCGTGGGTGGCTGCGGTCGGTGTGCTTCGGTCGGTGTGCTTCGGTCGGTGCGCTTCCGTCGGTGTGCTTCGGTCAGTGTGCTTCGGTCGCTGTGCTTCGGTCGCTGTGCTTCGTTCGGTGTGCTTCGGTCAGTGCGCTTCGGTCGCTGTGTGCTTCTATCGGTGTGCGCTTCGGACGTTGCGCGCTTCGCTCGGCGTGCGCTTCGGTTGGTGTTCTTCGGTCAGTGCGCTTCGGTCGGTGTGCGCCTCGGTCGGCGTGCGCTTCGGTCGGTGTGCGCTTCGGTCGGGGTGCGTCGGTCGGTGCGCTTCGGTCGGTGTGCTTCGGTCGGTGTGCTTCGGTCGGTGTGCTTCGGTTGGTGCGCTTCGTTTTGTGTGCTTCGGTCAATGTGCTTCGGTCGGTGTGCTTCGGTCGGTGTGCTTCGGTCGGAGTGCTTCGGTCGGTGTGCTTCTGTCGGTGTGCTTCGTTCTGCGTGCTTCGGTCAATGTGCTTCGGTCGATGTTCTTCGGTCGGTGTGCTGCGGTCGCTTCGGTCGGTGTGCTTCGGTCGGCGCGCGCTTCGGTCGGTTTTCTTCGGTCAGCGCGCTTCGGTCGGCGCGCGCCTCGGTCGGCGCGCGCCTCGGTCGGCGTGCGCTTCGATCGGTGCGCGCTTCGGTCGGTGCGCTTCGGTCGGTGCGCTTCGGTCGGTGTGCTTCGGTCGGTGTGCTTCGGTCGGCGTGCTTCGGTCGGTGTGCTTCGGTCGGCATGCTTCGTTCGGTGTGCTTCGGTCGGCGTGCGATACGGTTGGTATTCTTCGGTCAGTGCGCTTTTCAGTGTACGCCTCGGTCGGTCTGCGCTTCGGTCGGTGCGCGCTTCGGTCGGTGTCCTTCGGTCGGTGTTCTTCGGTCGGTGTGCTGCGGTCGGCGCACTTCGGGCGGTGTGCTTCGGTCGGCACGCGCTGCGGTCGGTTTTCTTCGGTCAGCGCGCTTCGGTCGGCGCGCGCCTCGGTCGGCGTGCGCCGCGGTCGGCGTGCGCTTCGGTAGGTGCGCTTGGGTCGGTGTGCTTCGGTCGGTGCGCTTCGGTCGGTGTGCTTCGGTCGGTGTGCTTCGGTCGGTGCGCTTGGGTCGGTGTGCTTCAGTCGGTGTGCTTCGGTCGGTGTGCTTCGGTCGGCGTGGTTCGTTCGGTGTGCTTCGGTCAGTGTAATTCGGTCGCTGTGTGCTTGAGTCGGCGCGCGCTTTGGTTGTTGCGCGCTTCGGTCGGTCTGCTTCGGTCGGTGCGCGCTTCGGTCGGTGTGCTTCGTTCGGTGTGCTTCGGTCGGTGTGCTTCGGTCGGCGCGCTTCGGTCGGTGTGCTTCGGTCGGTGCGCTTCAGTCGGTGTGCTTCGGTCGGCGTGCTTCGTTCGGTGTGCTTCGGTGAGTGTGCTTCGGTCGCTGCGCGCTTCGGTCGGTGCGCGCTTCGGTTCTTGCGCACTTCGGTCGGTGGGCGCTTCGGTCGTTGTGCGCTTCGGTCGGCGTGCGCTTCGGTCGGTGTTATTCGGTCGGTGTTCTTCGGTCGGTGTTCTTCGGTCGGTGTGCGCTTCGGTCGGTGTTCTTGAGGCAGCGCGCTTCGGTCACTGTGCGCCTCGGTCGGCGCGCGCTTCGGTCGGTGCGCGCTTTGGTCGGTTTGCTTCGGTCGGTGTGCTTCGGTCGCTGTGTGCTTCGGTCGGTGCGCGCTTCGGTCGGCGCGCGCTTCGGTCGGCGCGCGCTTCGCTTGTTGAGCGCTTCGCTCGGCGCGCGCTTCGGTCGGTGTTCTTCGGTCGGTGTTCTTCGGTCGGTGCGCGCTTCGGTCGGCGTTCTTCGGTCGGTCTTCTTCGGTCGGTGTGCTTGGGTCGGCGTGCGCTTCGGTCGGTGTTCTTCGGTCGGTGTGCGCTTCGGTCGGTGCGCGCTTTGGTCGGTGTTCTTCGGTCGGTGTGCTTCGGTCGGCGCGCGCTTCGGTCGGTGTTCTTCGGTCGGTGTTCGTTGGTCGGTGTGCTTCGGTCGTTGCGCGCTTCGGTCGGCGCGCGCTTCGGTCGGTGTGCGCTTCGGTCGGTGCGCGCTTCGGTCGGTGTTCTTCGGTCGGCGTTCTTTGGTCGGTGCGCGCTTCGGTCGGCGCGCGCTTCGGTCGGTGTTCTTCGGTCGGTGTTCTTCGGTCGGTGTGCGCCTCGGTCGATGCGCGCTTCGGTCGGTGTTCTTCGGTCGGTGTTCTTCGGTGGGTGTGCGCTTCGGTCGGTGCGCGCTTCGGGCGGCGTTCTTCGGTCGGTGTTCTTCGGTCGGTGTGCGCTTCGGTCGGTGTGCACTTCGATCGGTGTTCTTCGGTCGGCGTTCTTCGGTCGATGCGTGCTTCGGTCGGTGCGCGCTTCGGTCCGTGTTCTTCGGTCGGTGTGCGCTTCGATCGGTGTTCTTCGGTCGGTGTTCTTCGGTCGGTGTTCTTCGGTCGGTGTTCTTCGGTCGGCGCGCGCTTCGGTCGGTGTTCTTCGGTCGGTGTTCTTCGGTCGGTGTGCGCTTCGGTCGGTGTTACTCGGTCGGCGCGCGCTTCGGTCGGTGTTCTTCGGTCGGTGTTCTTCGGTCGGCGCGCGCTTCGATCGGTCTTCTTCAGTCGGCGCGCGCTTCGGTCGGCGTTCTTCGGTCGGTGTTCTTCGGTCGGTGTGCGCTTCGGTCGGTGTTCTTCGGTCGGTGTTCTTCGGTCGGTGCGCGCTTCGGTCGGCGCGCGCTTCGGTCGGTGTTCTTCGGTCGGTGTTCTTCGGTCGGTGTGCGCTTCGGTCGGTGTTCTTCGGTCGGTGTTCTTCAGTCGGTGTTCTTCGGTCAATGTGCGCTTCGGTCGGCGCGCGCTTCGGTCGGTGTTCTTCGGTCGGTGTTCTTCGGTCGGTGTGGGCTTCGGTCGGCGCGCGCTTCGGTCGGTGTTCTTCGGTCGGTGTTCTTCGGTCGGTGTTCTTCGGTCGGTGTTCTTCGGTCGGTGTTCTTCGGTCGGCGCGCGCTTCGGTTGGTGTTCTTCGGTCGGCGCGCGCTTCGGTCGCTGTGCTTCGGTCGGTGTGGTTCAGGATGCTTCGGGATGCTTCGGGATGCTTCGGGATGCTTCGGGATGCTTCAGGCTTCAGGAGCCAAAATGCCGAGGAAATCCCAATAATTTCTTGCATAGAGAATGGGGAATTTGTATTTGTCCAAAGATGAAAACTCTCGGGGCAAGTTGGCAAGGTGCATCTCTCACAAAGCAATGTCAACCATGCTCTCCACCTGAGCGCAGTTCCCCATGCACTGCGCCCGTGCAAACGCCCGCGCAAACTTGCAACCATGGAGTAGGGAAAATCAAATACTCAGGACATGATCAAACTGCTAATATGCTGGTTGGTGTTTCACGCTAGTGTATCGACTGGCTCTTACACTATGATTCTCGCGATATGCGCGGTGCGTATCATCTCTGCGCCCCGCGATTCGTCTGTCAGGAACACAGACCTCCAAAACGGCCACGACATGGCATGTGCAACGAGCACTGACTCAGGGCAAGTACTCTAAACAAAGAACGTGGCAGATTTAGCTTGAGAGTCTAATTGCGGTGTAACGCATCGCGCATCTTGAAGCGTTGGGTCCGTGGGATCTTCACACAGGTTTTTCTTGGATGAAAACTCACTGGTCAAATGTCCACTGTCCTTCCGCTCCTAGTTAGTGAATGGAGCAGCAACGCCAGCTGGTGGCTTGCATTTGGGGCCCAAACGCAACCCGCCACTTTTAGGGGTCCAAAACCGATGCCATTTCTGTTGACGGCCGTCAGCTACTGTTCAACATAGAAATAAAGCCAACAAAGCCCAAGCGGAGCGCCGCCTGTGGCGACACGCAGCCCGCAGCCCGGGAGAAACCTGCGGCTGATGCCCTTTGGCACTTTCAGTCGCACAGGCAGGCACCGCTGATCCGCGCTCGTTTGGGATCGGGTGGCTGGCCTCAGGGCTGACCCATGCTCGATGCACGCTGCCTTTCCAAGTTGAGGGAGCCTTTGCAATTCACTGCTAGCAATGATATCGTTCTTCCTGCCCTTCCAGCCCCTTTCCTTTCTAGTGGGCAAACAGATGAACAGCTGGCTGCAAATGCGTGGCCACCTCCGAGCACCAGACAGCGCATATGCTTTGGCTGGCAGACGCGGCGTGACGACAACAGCCTCCTAGCGTAAATCTGACACGAACTCCAGAGGGATGGGGCGCTTGGAAAAGCCTTGCCGAACCTGGAAACACCTGCCAAAAGCCTGGGATTTGTTTGGGGAAAGCTCCTGCGGCCTGGACTGAAAACCGGCCGCCCGCATCTGGCTGTGGCCTGGCAGCACCTGGCGAGAGTTCGGGTGAACTGAGGAAATGAGTGTCAATATCAATTGTCTACATTGTCTTGAGTCGTCTGCACATTCAGCGGCCAAGGCCCAACGAGCTGACTTTGGTTGACAAGGCACGTTGACAGATTGCAAAACAAATAGAAGATTTGCAACGCCACCTGTTGCAGCCACACCTCGAAGCGGTGGTCCCTGTGAGGTGCACAGGCCATCGCTCTTCGATTGCCGGATTTGACAGTCCCCAGGGATGCGAAACTGTTCGGAATGAAGCAACCATGTTTTTCGTGCATGTGACTGTCAGCAAGTGTGGGTCTGAGTGATCTGCAACACTTGCTTGCATGACACCTTGAAGCAAGACAGCCAAGCCATCATGCACAGAATTGCCAGTGTCAATGCTGACAGAATGTCAACGTACAAATATCAAAACAAGAGAGCAAGGGAAACACACAGAACGCGGCTTTTGCCTAAGGGCGAACAGCTCCTCCAACAGCAGCAAAAGAGCCTGCGTTTGCAAGTCAAGGCGTGCAACCAAGATGCTGCCCACGCAGAAACTGGTGCACAAAATGTCGCTTGACCCTCAAGGCTCAAAGGTTTGAGGGTTTTCAGAATTTGCCTGCCGCTCCGCATGTTGAGAGCGGTCGTGCTCCACCAGCACCGGGGACAAAAGCCTCACAACAAGTCGGGCATGTTGCCAAGAACATGCTGACACGCTGCGGCACTCTCAGGGGCGAAAGGTCTACGAACCCCTGCGCCACGGTCCAGCCTGAAGTCGCTGTCGGCCTCACCAAAGCCGCACACGCGCTGGATCGCGAAGCCCTGGCATGGAATGCAATTGCTCCCTCCCGGTTTGCAGCGGCACTTTTGCTTAGTTGTAGAACTTATGGGACGGGCCTTTACATACACAGATTTTCCGCATCCCGTGCGCATCAGCTCATCACATGAGACAGGACCGCGACAGCAACCATGTCCAGAACAGTGCCTTGCTCTGTGCAAACAAACACTTGCTGCGCCATCATGTCAAATCAATGTCCAGGTATTCACCTCCAAGATACAGTTGCAGCATGATGGCCGAGATCTCTTGTGGTGGAATCCCAGCCCACAGGCTGTATATTCTCAAGGCTCCCAAAAAGGATATCCCAGTACCGGTTTCGTCGACTCCGTCGACTCCCATTCCTCGGAGGCAAGACTGCAGCTGGACCACGCGGCGATGGAACGGGATGTGAGGCTCTGGTACACCTGGCCATTGGCTCCGCAAGGTTTGTGCAAGGAGCCGAATCCTCGGCATCACGTAAGCAGAGAGAGAGGGACGAAACTAAGGCATTCGATCGACACAGCCTCCTCGGAGTGGTACAGCTCCGAGCGCGCCTCGAAAAGATGCGCAAAGCGGTCTTTCGCATGTGGCAATGGGCGGTGTCTCGAAAGCGCCGTTTGAATCACATTCCGCGTGTCTCAAAATGCTCAAAGCAAAAGCTGCATCGATCTCGCAATGCGCCTGTGCGACAGCAATGGGCTTCCAAGCACCTGCCCAGCTCCCTCTGTCTACGACTGTCTGCGAATCTCAGTCTGCCCAAGATCTACGAATCTCACGCTGCAACGGACTCGATCTGACTGGATGAGGCCAAGCCAAGATTGGAAAACGCCATTCTGCAACCACTTGTTTGCCAACGACTTGCTCAGTCTTTTGCCAACGCAATGCGTGACATACCTTCTCCCATCCGTCCTGGAAGGCAAAGCACCTCAAGGACCTCGAGCAATATTGACACTCAATACTCTGAATGTCTCTGAACCGGCTCGCGTTCGCGCACCCCTGCCAGCCCCCGTTCGCTAGGTTTGCCAAAAAAAGGTACATGTGCCAGTCAACGCTAGCAACGGGAATAGACTCCTAGAGGAGCGCGCATGCTGAACCCCACATGTTGGTGTGACAAAAGCAGCTTCCGGGCACAAACCGCCATTCAAAGTGGGCCCCCCCAATGCAAAAACTGCGGTAAGATCACGGATTGGTGCAAGATGCAAATTCGCACCCGCTGCAAACACATCTTCCAATATTGAATTCCGGAATTCCGGACTGCACATGAAGCGCTAGAAATCAAGCCTTGCAACCGGCGAACCGAAAATTTTGCTAACGTCGTCAGCTCATCTTGCGCTGCCTGTCAACAGAAAACGGCTTTGACAGCCTGACCATATGTCACATGATTCAGGACTTGCGTCCAAGTTTTTTGACTGGAGGAACATCCAACATGTAGAAGAAGTAGAAACGAGAGAAAAGTGGCAAAGTAGCGCCGTACACATAACCGGCTAGTCAAACCTTTGCCATGTTGTTCTTTCACACTTGTTCAACTTCTCCAAACGTTTTGGCTTTTCCTACCACATCTCCAACTTTCGATGTTAGAGCCTTTGGACTCTTCATATTGTGCGCTCTTTGACAGTTCAGCTTCTATCAAATTGATGGGACACTAAAGCTTCTTTGTTGCGGGGGGGGCGAAGGGGTATGCTTTCCAACCTGCTGGCTTGTTTGTTACGATACAGCAAGAATCAATGATGCCATGATCATGCCTAAATGTTTTAAATTAATTAAATTTTAAGCAAAGCCATTCAGGACAAGCGCGCTCACAATGTTGCCCCATAATTGAAAAGCTCCACAAAGTTGTGAACCTACGTACAGTTTCAACAAACGCAACAAGAGAAGAATTGACCAACCGTGGACTGATGTACATATTGGAACATACTGTATGTATAACACATGTATACATATACAAAACCAGTACTGAAGCGAAGACTTGCAAAGATTGTGGCAGCAACTGCTTCAAATGGTATTGCTGTATGTGATAAACAGGGTCGATGCATTATGTGATCATCTCTCAGGGTTACAAACATTCCCGTCAGCACATTGTCTGAAATCAACTCGTAGTGGCTACATGATACCAACCAGATCTGGAAAACGTGCTCGAAGAATATCACACACAAAATATTTAATCAACGGGATTTGGGCAGCCTCAAAGTACGGAGATTTGCATGTCTTTACAACATGGCCAATGATGAATTCTTGGGAGACGGAAAGTAAGGGACGTCGCTGGTGAGCATGCTACTTTCGAACCGGCAAGCCGTGCAACCTTGTTCTCCCAAAATGTTGGCTTGCTCGGCCTCTTGCGTATGCACCACTAGAAGCACGGGTGGCCAGAAAGCATAATGGAAAGTGACCAAAGACAAGCAAAGCGAGCCGACATGCAGGGGTGCCAGTGGAGTGGTTGCTCACGAGTTGCTGTTGCGCGCGCGCGTGCGTGCGTGCGTGCGTGCGTGCGTGCGTGCGTGCGTGCGTGCGTGCGTGCGTGCGTGCGTGCGTGCGTGCGTGCGTGCGTGCGTGCGTGCGTGCGTGCGTGCGTGCGTGCGTGCGTGCGTGCGTGCGTGCGTGCGAGCGTGCGTGCGTGCGTGCGTGCGAGCGTGCGTGCGTGCGTGCG